TGGGAGGGGAGGGGGTGGGGAAAGGATGTACACCTGGGATGGAGGAAGGGTGTACACCTGGAGTGGGGGAGGGGGAGGAGGTAGGAGAAGGGTGTACACCTGGGGTGGAGGTGGGGGAGGGGTGCACACCTGGGGTGGGCTGGCATCAAGTTTCACTCATTGATAATATTCTAAAATTCATGTGTCACAATTTTGAGACAAAATAACAAGAATCATAAATTTTAACTGAATTTCAAAGTTTCACTCTTATTCAACCATTCACTAAGCACACACATTCTTTGAGTAGAATCATACATCAAAGTAAACCTGGTATTAATAAATGATGCTCTAAATCTTACTATTTTCACATATAACACACTTAGGCCAAACAAATAAATAGGTGTGTTTCCTGTTGTGTGACCGACCCTAATATTTTTTTCATTCCCAAATGCACCACAGGGTTCCCAATAAGCTCATTTCCACTGTAATATCAGTAAAAAAATTCGACCAACCGACCTCAGTTATTTTTATTATGCAGCAAGAAACACACTTATGTTTTTGTTTGGCATTACACATAACCCCAGTGCCACATAATCCCCTGAGTTAAATTTTAATTGTCTTTATTGATTTTGAAAGCAAAGTTATAAAGGTTTACTGTACTGTATAACCTCATCTAAACCAGCATTGCTGAATAGGGCTATAATTTATGTCAATATTCATAATTATTAGGTGCATGGCTTGAATTGTTTGTGGGATTAACCAGTATTGGTGGTGTCCACAAGCCCAGACACCATGCTACATCAAACATCCCTCACAGTTGGTGCTCTCATATTTTCTCCTTCTGGTTCTGTGTGACTGATGGAGGCTTATTAGTACCTCTAGGGATACATTTCTAAAGATGTCCTCGATTATTATGATTGTGTTATGTCGTGACTAACCTTATAACAGAATTGAAGAAATAGAAAACGTGCGTACATGCAGTGTGCAGTTATAAAGCACGCGAGGGTTGGCAGAACATGAGTGTTTGGAGAAGCACAATAATAATGATAATAATAACTTTATTTCTATAGCGCTTTTATCTATGTTCAAAGCGCTTTACAAACAATATAACAAATATAAATAATTACTGAAATATCAAATAATCAAAAATCTAACTACTAAACTATCTTAATGACTACATTCTATAAAAATATAATAATCTAGTAATTATAAATATATATAAAATGAATAACTAATCTTAAAAACTAACCATAAGCCTCTTTATATAAAAATGTTTTTAGCTTTTTCTTAAAGCTATCCAAACTTGAACATAATCTAATATCTTGGGGAAGAGTATTCCATAACACAGGCCCACAAATGGAGAATGCCCTAGCGCCATAGGTCTTAAGCTTAAACTTGGGTACCCTGAGCAATCCCTTGGCAGATGAAGTAGCAGAGTGCAACAAGTAGCGGAGTGCTTCTTGACACTTCTCGAGTGTTCTGTCAATCCCCAAGTGCTTYATAACTCCACACAGCACAGCMAGCAAGTTTTTTATTTCTTTTATGAAATACAAATTACAAAAACTGTTATTTTGCATATGAATGATGTGACTCAACCAATTAGAATGCAACATTTAATAATAGTTATTTCGTAAAATAAATTAGAGAACTCAAGATTTTCTCGCAAGTAATGTAATTAATATTATTTCTGATTTCTGCCTAGTGGAGAACTGAGTTTTTTCAAGAAATATTAGCTTGAAGAACAAAATTTACAACTAATTAATATATTATTCAATGAATTAATTCATTTTGCTATTCATTTCCACATACAAAGTGTTATGACCTTTAAGTAACAATTTTTCTATTCTTTTCCGTAGCAAATAAAGAAAAGAAAAGTTCTAAAAACAGTAATGACAGTGATTCATTTGCAAGACCAGTGTCCCCTGTGTGAGTAGCATTAATAAGTCAAAACATATTTTGTGCATATGAATGCATGTGAAAAATTATGGCACATTTATGACATCATCAAAAAATATCTGTTAGTTATCGGACAATATCTTCTCCATATACGCTCGCAAAAGACTATCATCCTACTGAGTGCTTTCCCCAGAAGTATGATCATAAAGTTCTGTACCATAACATTTTCTTTGTTAATTAGCTCTTTCCACCTCACTAAAAATTCAAATTATTATTAATATTTTACTTTTCTTTAGATTAACAGCATCTGAATATTATGAAAGAGAAGAAATATTAAAATTAAGAGCACTAGCTCTCAAAAAGGTATTGCAACTAAAGGTTGTTATAGCTTTTTAGGTGAAGGGTGCACGTTCAAACGTTTTATGGCTTGGGAGATTGGGCAACTTCTAACATTTACAAAGAAAACTATATTACCTTTACCTTTAAGGGTTTGAATCCTAGTCAACTCATGGGTCTGAGCCACAGAGCTAATTTCGTTTCTTTTCTCTTTCAAATTCCAAGGGTTTTTCCGTGTCCGGTTTTACCTCCCTCCTCTCAAACCAACCCTAACTAATTCAAACTGGTGTGCATGAGGTGTGCTCGGGAGTCATGTGGACTGTATAGTGAATGCCAAATGTGCCTTCCCATTGATTTTAGTTTGACCCTGTTGAGCTATGCCATTGTTGTACTTGCAGTGGTGATTAGCGATAATAACAAGTAAAAGTCTTGATTGGCAATAGCATTTTTAATACAAGTTAGCCAATTTTTGGCCATAAGCCATCCATATGTTCTCAAAAAAAAATTTTTTTTAAGCTGAATTATACATTAAATTACTGTTCTCCTATAATTATTGGGGGGGGGGGGGGGGGGGGGCTGTAGAAACGATATTCAGGGAGAAATTATGGCATGATCTGAAATTAAAAAAGTCATCACAAATCAAATCAACGAGAACATTTTAATTGTAGTTATAATCTCTAATAGTCCAATTGCATGGCTTGAATTGTTTGTGGGATTAACCAGTATTGGTTGTGTCCACAAGCCCAGACACCATGCTATATCAACCATCCCTCACAGTTGGTGCTCTCATATTTTCTCCTTCTGGTTCTGTGTGACTGATGGAGGCTTATTAGCATCACTAGAAGGGTACATTAAACCACATTGCTTTGAGTAATGTTGGGTGATCAGGTAAAGCAAGTAGTGTGTAATGCACAATGCTTGGTGTATGAGAAACAAATTATTGACAATCACTACCCCAAGTGTAGCAGTGGTGTAGCTCAATGGGGTAGAACGAAAAGCATGTTAAGGCCTCTTTAGCAGTGGCTGTACAGTCAATGTATGACCCCAGAACACAGCTCTTAACAGTTTGAATTAGTTAGGGTTGATTTTAAGGAAAAGCCAGAGGGACAGAAAAACCCTAGGAGTCAGAAATCAAACCTCAGACTTCAGAGTGAGCTCTAGGTCAGTGATTACACAATGCACCATCCTGCCTGTAAATGTTCTGGAGACTTACATGTATATGGTAAAGTATAATTACATCTATTGTGGTTTTATAGGAAGAAACAGATGTACAACTTGAAGCTGAAAAACTTGACAAGGAAAGAAACCTACATATTAGAGAAATGAAAAGATTACAACATGAAGATGATTCACGGTATATACCTATTGAAAAAACATTGCCGGGTTCAAAAAAAGGGTATATCATCAAAGCTAAGACTGAAGGAGAGCATGGGAAGACAAACAATTATGCTAATTTCATGCGTATTGCAGTTTTCCTTTCCTGTGCACATGTTATGCATCATGGCTTTGTCATGTCATGTTTATCTAGGTGGACCAACTTTGCTCTACTGCGCATTTTTACATGTCTATATGCAAATATAATACACATTTCAGAGTACCCAAAATCCTTTTCAGTCTTAACTTCAATGATATGACCTTCTCGAACCCGACTACGTTTTTTCAATTAGGTGCATTGGAAATTGTTGATTAAATAATAAAGTGCTAACTTCACATTCAGATTCATTATTTGGTTGAAATACTTTTTTTTAGGTGGGAGCTAGTATCTCATGTCATTTCTTCATTTCTTTAGATTTAATAACCATCCACAGCTGAATGGAAGATATCTCTTATTACAACTGCTCGGCAAGGGAGGATTTAGTGAAGTTTACAAGGTAAATTAATTTTAAATATTTTGGTAGCAAATACAGCGCAACATGCAAAACTATAACCACATTTAACGTAACGGGGAAGCACCGGTGGCGTGCGCTGCTAAAGCACCACATCTTACCAATGCGGCCCGAGTTCGAACCCTGCCGATCTCGATGACATATATGAGTAGGGTTGCTTCTTGGTTCTCTCCAGGTTTTTTCTCTGGGTATTCTGGTTTTCCTCCCTCCACAAAAATCAACTACTAAATTCTAATTCGATCTTTGGGCTTTCACCTAGTTTGGAGCCTAGCTCTGTTGTAATTTTCCCACGCTGTGTAACAACAGTAAAAGCTTAAATATTAGATATAATAGATTTTTAGAATTGCATACTTCTGTGCATGAACCTTGCATACTGTGGGAATGTAGTTCCATCTTCAATTTTAATACAGTAACAGAGAAGCTCTATTTTCTTGGTGTTTATTTGTAGGGTTATGACTTATTTGAGCACCAATATGTGGCCTGTAAGATTCATCAACTTATTAAAGAATGGAAAGAAGAAAAAAAGAAAAATTATATAAAGTAAGACATTCCTCACATCCTTTCTCACACCTTCTAATCATCTTCTCTCACATCGTTGGTTGTTTTGATCACTAAAAACGAGAAGTCTTTCTCGTTTTTGTTATGGTAAAAAACAAATCTTTTCAGCTTTTTTTATGTTTCTGTACTCTTATTGACCATAAATTTCGTCATCACATTGTCAAAGTACTATGCGGATCTCGGCTATGCCTCGTAAATCCATCCACACTACTTTAACAATGTGATGACCCAATCTACTGTCAATAAGAGGACAGACGTTAAAAAATGATGTAAATTGGTTATGTGGAAGAGATAACATAAAGTGTGGTCCACCCCAAGAACCCCTTAAAGTAGCATTTTAAACATGATCAGTGTGTTATTTTTAGCGATTTTTCACACTCTGATGTATCTAATAAATAAGGCAAATGCTTTGAATTTATATTACTGCTTTAACACTTAATATATTTAACCAATTGTATTTCAGGCATTCAGTCAGAGAATATAACATCCACAAAACTCTTAACCATCCGGTAAATACACTCTGTATTGTCAAGTTTCATCTCATTTGAAAAGTAGTCATTTTTAAATAACCAGGGGTGGATCTAAGGGGGTTCGTGTGAACTGTCTAAATTGAATCCCCTAAATGAAAACTATGTGATCAAACCCCCTATTGAGTGCACTCTAGATTATATTGAAGCCCTTAGCCAAGCCAATCTAGAGCCTTTTTTTCTCTCTCTATCCTTGAGAGTGCTCACCTCTCACCAATGCGACCTGAGCTCAGTGTTGCATGTGAGTTGAGTTGTTTGTTGGTACTCTCCCGTGCTTCAAAGGTTTTCAGGGTTCTCCAGCTTTCCTCATGCTGAAAAAATCAACTTCTAAATTCCAATTGGAATCCAGTGGGGGAAGAACCTCTCTGTGGAATCCATTCCATTATTTATTCATTATTTATTATTTGTTTCTTTTTAGAGAATAGTCCAACTTTATGATGTCTTTGAAATTGATAATGACACGTAAGTTTGCTCTTCACCTTGTAAATTTGCTCCTTCAGATGGCTCCTTGTCCAGATGTTTGTTTTATTCCACTCTATTATATTCCTCTTTTAGTTCAGCAAAGGTCTGTGTGTGGTGTGAGCGTGTGCTGTTAATATTTCCAACAACAACAACAACAAAAAAAGACTGGTATTTGACTATACTAAGATCCTGGTTATGAGCCATGGGCTCAATCGTAAGGGTTTTTTGATGGCAGGGTAGGGGAGGGGAGGAAATGGTCATTTCTTTCTCTTATATTCCCAGTCAATCTCTTATGTTTCATCAGTGAAATGCTTAAATAAACTCAATATGGTTATGGAGGGGGGCTTATAACTGAGAGGATAATTTCCTTAAATAGCATTTAAATTTTTTTCTATACCATTAAATTGTAAAATAAGCTTATAGTACTATTCTTGGCTTTCACCTATGTCATTGAAAATTTTCCAAAGGCTTATAGACAAAAAACTTCCACAGTCCTAAAGAGCAACAAAAACTTTATATCTCAGCCAAAATTCCAGCTAAAAGAAGTTTTAGATACGGGAATATGAGCGATAATAAAGTGACAATGATTGCATGACAGAATTTGACTGGTAATGAATCGAAAACCAAACTTCAAAAATAAAAGTTTATTTTGGTAAAGCTTTTCTTATAATGGTGTAAATATTATAATATTTATAGTATAAATATATATAAAAAGTTTGTAATTTATATACATAATATTATAATATTTATATTATAATATATAAAGTTTGTAATATTTGACAAATAGTTTTGTGGAGTGAATACTTTGGATTTTAGTATTTTGATGACATCGCGCGAAAACCAAGAATTTCTTGGACTAAGTGTTTGTACTATATACTATGAATTTATAAATAATTGAATCCTTTTCTTTACCAGTTTTTGTACAGTAATGGAGTATTGTGATGGCCAAGACTTGGACTTCTTTCTCAAACAGCACAAAATTGTTCCAGAAAGAGAGGTTAGTTTTCGTTAGATTTCCCTTAATTTGAGTTAAACTAGAATGTTTTAAACCATTTTCTTGCACAGTGAATAAATAAACAAGCAAGCGAACTAATTATTTTCATTTTTTCCATTCGTTTAAGATTATTTTTCATTTATTTAATCATTGGTGACTGATAAAAAGAGATAACTAGCTAAAAACTAGTGTGAGCTGCGTTTACAATCATTGGTGACTAATAAATGTTTTTGTTTGAATTTCCCAGGCCAAGTCCATAATAATGCAGGTAAAATAGTCATCTGCTGCTCTAGTAAATAAAATATTATCATCATCATCATCATCATCATCATCACCATCATCATCATTATTAAAATCATCAATCCCTAGTTGAAGAGAAACTATTTATATACATATTATATTTAAGATGCATGCTGTTTGCTTTTTTTTTGGTGAGCAGATCCCACATAGCTTACTTTAATTCTTTCTCATTTTAGACGGTCAGTGCATTGAAATATCTGAACGAGATTAAACCACCAGTTATTCATTATGACTTAAAGCCAGGTAAGTTTGTAAGTTTACAAATTATTTTAAGTGTGTCTCCTTTCGTCACTACACGGAAAATCAATAATAAAAGTGAGAGACTGGTTATTAAAATTTACAGAGAAGAGACAGAAAGAAAAGGAGCTTGAAAAAAGGAAATTATATGAAAGGATAAGGATAAGAGCCTAATGACCTAATGACATATTCATTTCTCACACCATTATCATATATGGGTAGAGATGGTAGTTGATTCTCTTCTGTGATCGGCAGGAATGGGTTCACCAGAATCTCTGGCTTCACGAAAATCTCTTTATAAATTAAAATTTTTAGAGACTTCGTCAATAGAGCATTTCCAAGATGTTGTGAACCAAGTGAGTCATAGCGAGGCTTGGTGCAAAGATACGCTTGGCAGCACAAAATATGGAAACGTTTTTGAGAAGTTTTATTTTATGAGAATAATGTTATATTTTTCAGCCTTCAAGACAAAACTTATCGAATTTCAAATTTATACTTTTCACGTAGCCTCAATATAATGCACTTTGTCACAATGTCTCAAAAATAGTCTATTGGTTTGTAAGCCTGTCAGGTCCTTCTCCCTTCCTCCTCCTTCTCCTCCTTCTCCTCCTTCTCCTCCTTCTCCTCCTTCTCCTCCTTCTCC